TTATCCCCCCTTTTGTGTCTGGGAACTTTAATTTTAATCGCATTAGGAGAGGGTGGGTTGGGGAAGACCGACATCCTCTGACTAGCTAGTGTTTTCACATGAGTGTAAAACCTGTGTCTCCTGCTGAACTACCAGTGGTGGGATTCAAATTTTTTTTAGTACCAGTTCTGTGGGCATGGCATGACTTGATGGGCATGGGTTGGTGGATGTGGCAGGGGAAGGATACTGCAAAATCCCATTCCCTCCCCACCCCACTAACCTGCTTTCCAGCTCCGTTCTCCTGTGCAGGGCAACAAAAGAAGACCCAGCCGATCAGCTGGGACTCAGGAAGCAGAGAATAGATGGGGCAGGGCCAATCAGAGATGGTATTTGACAGTTCTCCGAACTACTCAAAATTTCCACTACCGCTTCTCCAGAACTGGTCCGAATCTGCTGAGCCCCACCTCTGGGCCCTACCCAACAGCCCCATCAACAGCCCCATCAACACAGCACCTTCCTCTTTGCTCTAGGAGGTGAGGGCAGGGGTTCCCAGCTTGACAACCTGCCAATTCTTTGAGCTGACCCCCCCCCCCCCCGAAAAATCGTATGAAAGCCTAGAGATCTCCATTTGCTAGAAAGCAGGAAGCACTCCCACCAGTGCCCATCTGTGAGAAATACCTGATTACCTCTGTACATAGTGTTTGCCTTACTTACTTACTTTTTACATTTAAAAAACATGTAACTTAAACAGAAAAAGCTGAAAAAATAAGAAAATCGATGGGGACGGACTACAAAATAAAATGTACAAAGTAAATGTGCAAAATAAAATGTACAAAAAACGTACATTTTTTTTTTAAAAAAAACAACAATTCACAAAGTAAAAAAAAACATTTTAAGAATAAACAAAATATTGAAAGAAGAAAAAAAGAAATGCACTTCTTACAAGTGATAATAGATTGGAACAAATATGTTCACATGAAAATCAATCATTTTAACAATTAACATTAGAATCAGAACAGAGGTTGACAAAAACTGGCAAAACAATAAAAGAGTTAACAAGAATTTGTAAATATTTCGAGGCACTTGCTCCTCATAGCTAATCAGACGAAATCTAAAGTTTTAAAAACTTAAATTGAAAGAAACACCAATGTCTGAGCAGGCAGAAAGCTATGCGCAAAATTATGGAAACAATTTCCAAATAGTTAGTTTTCCTTGAGTTTTGTAGTATATTGGAGCTCTAAAAAGCAAGTTTCTTGTTCAAAAGTAGCACTTTCTTAGTTACATGCACTCTCTCTCTCTCCCCGCCCTTCTCTTTCCCTCCCTCTCTTTCTCATCTGTGTTTAATCCTGCATTTGTACATAATAATAGGTTTTGTAACCAATATCTTGTGTTGTTAAGGTTCCAAGATCAACATACCATCAGCTATTTTTTTTCAAGCAACGCCTAGTTTATAGCACTTCATAAAACTGCCAGCCTTCACCTTTGATTGTCAGGTTAACCTGGACTTCGCACATGACCATAATATTTCAATAATCTTATCAGGTTTGCTTAAAAAAACTTTCCAACTGCAATAAGTAATACTTTACTCTCCTGGTTTAGCTACAGCAAAAGCCAGGAACAGGTGTGGGGTGGGGGAAGGATGTCATTATTTAGTTTGCAAGAAGTTACTTGTGCAGCTTACATTACAGATAGTCCTCAAGTTAAAACCGTTCATTTAGTGACAATGGCACTGAAAAAAAGTTACTTATATCCATTTTTCACACAACAGTTACAGTATTTCCATGGTCATGTGATCAAAATTTGGCCACTTGGCAACTGGCTCGTATTTATGACGGTTGCAGTGCCTTAGGGTCTTGGGATCACCTTTTGCGACCTTCTGACAAGCAAAGTCAATGGGGAAGTCAGATTCATTTATCAGCCATGTTACCAATTTAACAAATGCAATGATTCACTTAACAACTGTGGCAAGAAAAGTCATAAAATGGGGCAAAATTCACTGAACAACTGTCTTTTGTTTAATAAGAGACATTTTGGTTGTAAGTCAAGGACTACCTCTATAGATGCAGCAGCTTACAGAGTAGAAATTATTTTAGGTCTATTTTTCTCTTGTTGTGGATGCAAGCCATGGACGCTCCAGCTTCAGACATCTATGGTATGTTTCAAGTCCTCGTGGAAGGATGGATGTCTTGCATCCATGAGATTACACAGAGAATAATATCTAATTATCAAAATGTACCAGATCTTGGCTGCAAAAGTCCAAATGGCCATTAGGTGGCATCAAAGATTTATTTATTTATCTGTTATAATATATTAGCCAGCCATCTTACCACAGAGTAACACCTGGGCAGCAGGATACATAGAAAACATTAATTAATTATTGTCCAGATTTTTGCAGTTTAGAACCAATAGCTCTATCTTTAAGTCTGAATTAGAGGAAGGAAGGACAACAGCTCACTGAACAGGAAAAGAGAGATGGAGAAGGAATTCAGGCAGACCTCAGCTTACAACTGTTCATTTAATGACCATTCCAAGTTACAACAGCACTGAAAAAAGTGACTTGTGAACTTTTTTCACACTTACGATTGTTACAACATCCCTGTGGTCACATGATCAAAATTCAGATTGATTCCTATTAACGACCATTGCAGTGCCTTGGGGTCATGTGATCTCCTTTTGTGACCTTCTGACAGGCAAAGTCAATGGAGAAACCAACTTCACTTAACCACCGAGTTACTAACTTATCAACTAACTGCCGTGATTCACTTGTCAACTGTGGCAAGAAAGGTTGTAAAATGGGGTAAAATTCACTTAACGGATGTTTCATTTAGCAATAGAAATTTTTGGCTCAGTTGTGGTTGTAAGTTGAGGACTACCTTGGCTTCTCTTCTTGAGAGCCACTGTAAGAGGGATGCCATTCCCACAGAAACAAAGAAGGGCTTCATGCTTACTTTTGGAGAAAGTATGTGTGCAGAGTGCAAATAATTAGTCTTCTTAAATCTGATTGATGATAAAGGGAACGAAGAAGTCAAAGTTCTCCAGTACAGGCAAAGCTCAATCATGATCTTATACCTTTATGATTAAAGGGCTCTTTAGGCTAAACATTACAGACTGAAGCCATTAACATAGTTAATTATTGTTGGGTTTGCTAAATTAGGCAATACAAGCCAGGTAATACAAAGGCCTACAGGCAGTAAACTTCAGGAAGACAGTTTATTGTTCTACTTCTGGGCAGGAGAAAGATGAATGATCTGGAGTGGACAGAAATGGCAAGGTCATTTCCCTGGTCATTTACCTGAAAGAAGCAGAAATAACAGCCCTTTTTTCTCTCAGATGTAAGGAAGTAATAGGTGCTCGTATGCTAGTTTCCCTTTGTTTAGGGCTCACCTTGTCTATTGGCATAACATCCTTATCACAAAACTAAACTAGCAGTAATCCTTGATTTTCTTGCTTTCAGTTCCTCCAAGAAAAAAAATTAAATTGACTGAAGGAAAAGTATACACATAAACTTGTATTAAGAATATACTGCAGCCTCAAGATCAAGGAAAGGAGAGGAGAGAAAAGGGAAAAGGGAGAAAGGGTACAAAGGCAATAAATTTCCACATTGGAATTTCTCACCTACAGATGATCATAGAGAAGGCACTGCTTTATTTATATTAGATTCTAATATTCACTGCAGCTATTGAAAACACATTCTGAAAATATTAATTCCAAAATAGTATGATTTGTATATTTATGAACAAAAACAGCCATCACAGAACAATGATTCTAACTAGTTCAACCCCTTAACCCCAAATAAATAATTTGTTGAATATGAATAAAAAGGCTATAGTGGTAGGCAAGCATACCTCTACTAGCATTATTCACTTCTACTATCTGTATGTTGTTTCTCAGCAGGGAACTCCCCTCCAAGCTTCTGGTTCAGCATTTTAATAACCAGAGTTCTGACGGTTTAGCAACTTGGCTAATCCATCGCAAGATTTCAATCATACATCTCAGAAAATTACTTCCAACCATGCACTGAAAGAATACAGGTATATTGCATATGCAACCTCTCACCTCCTCTGAGGAAAATGATGTTTTTGGATGAGTTGTGGGAGGGAGGTTGTTGATGCTGCTGCCCACAGACTTCAGACTTTTCCTCTGCCTGCGTAGCCCACATTCACATGTTTCTTTTGCCACCAACTTATGGCTAACCACACTGGGTTCCTTAAAACCACACATAGACATGTCCTGATGTCCAAATCATCTTTTTTCTCATCCAGAGGCTTCTTCTTTCTAAATGGCCCTCTGCATATTATTCAATTGTTGGGAAACCATGTCATGTAACTGTAACTTGTTCAGCTAAGAAATCGTTGTCCTAAAAAGTTACTTCAGTAAGAAAGAGAAATGTTCCCACCCCTTTCCTCTGCATTGCCAACTGATCAGAACCTGTGCCTATGTATTTAACACTGAAACCAGAATCGTAGTGCCACCACTGTACAATTGATCTCTACACCTCCCTGGTAAGAAATTAGGCACGATCAAACTCCAGAGGCAGATTGCTTTCTCCTCGTGCTTTCTTTTTTAATTAGCATGTCCATGACTACATATAAATAGCACACACACACACACACACACTTGCCTCTCTATTTATGCTTTTTTGGCGTCACCCCAGGAAGTATTAAGGAGGGAGGGAGAGAAAGAATAAGCTTTTAACTCTTCCTCACAAAATCAGAAACTAGACAAACTTTACACAAGGATTTCCTTCAGACAAAAGCCGTCTCCTTTACACGGAGAGGATTATTATTATTTTTTGTAATAATGCAGAGAGGATGTCTGACCAGAAAACCAACAACATTTCAAGGATGTAGATTTCCTATGGTGACAGAGGCTAAAAAAAAGAGGGGAGGGGGAGTGTTTTGGGCCTGACTGTGAAAAAAAACCTGATCTAACTCCAAAGGGACTAACTTGAAAGAAAAGACTCCTCAGAAGCAAAGGAGCTCTAGTTTGTAAAAAGAATTCCAAGGCAGGTGCAGACTCACCCTGATAAGGAAGGAGATTCCTGTACCTCAGAGATTCTTCACTGTCCCGACCTGGATGGAAGGCAAGAGAAATGATTCCAGTTCAGCAGGAGCTGTCCATAGTTTGTGACTTCTGAACCATCATCTTCCTAACAGGGCTCTCTCTGCCACACCTACTTCCTTTCTGCATTGCCAGCCATCCCTGCCCTTCTCCTCCTCTAAGAGCAAAAAGCTGCAAAGTCAACAAGATTAATCATTACTTCCTCGTAAAAGTGATCATCAGTATGATAGGTGGATGTATGTACCTGAAGCTTATATAGTGCAAGGATCTTAAAGAGGCTTTTTTAATTATTAAATTTATTTATTCAACACTTCAACATTTTAAAAAAATCAATTTCCACTTTTTACAATGATTCCATAATGGTGTTAACACTAATTAATAAAGTCTAAAATTACATCAATTACTTCTCCATTCTTATTCACTTACATTCTTATTTCTCGATCTAATTTATAAAACCATTAGCATCTATATACATATATGTACATATATACATCATTAATTAATACTTTCTCGTTTTTGATGTCGATTGACGCCTTCTTTCTAACCACTCATACCAAACATTCCATATCTTATTTCTCTTTTAATATCATCTTCTCTTTCTTAATACCTTTTCCTCTTTCTCTTTTAATATCATTGTTAGCCTGTCCATTTCAGCGCATTCAAGGATCTTCTTTATTATTACTGCCTCAGAGGGCATAGTGTCCTGTTTCCAATTTTGTGCAAATGAGATTCTGGCAGTGGTTATTATATGGAGTATAATAAATTGGAAGTTCCTACTAACTTTTGATCCTATTAAACCTAACAAAACAATTCAGGTCTTAATTCAATTCTTTGTCTTATTATTTCTTCCAACCAAGCTTTAATTTCTGGGTCAATACTTCCAGGCTTGGGGACAGGTCCACCACATATGAAAACACGTTCCTTGGCTGTAGTTGAATCTCCAACACTTTGCCAATATATTGGGAAACATCTTGGCCAACCTTGCTGTGGGGAGGTGCCAGTGGTAGAACATTTTATAAAGGTTCTCCTTGTATGCAACTGATAATGTTAATTTATAATTTACTTGCCATAGTTTTTCCCATTGTTCCAAATCAATACCATATCCAAAATTTTTGGCCCAGATTATCATATTTTCTTTTTTTTTGTTTCTTCTTCCATTTTATATTCTAATATACATTATATATTATACATTTTACTAATCATTTGTTTCCCAGTCCCTTATATAATTTTATCTAATTCTTGTTGATTCTATAAAAGCCAAATTGTTCCCAATCCTTCTTTATATGCAGTAGACATTTTTTAATTTTTAATTTCTCATCTACTAATCTATGTATCAGTTTATTTCTTTATTTATTTTCAGTGTATATGCCAGCCATTTTCCATATTTATTTGCATTTCAGAAAAACGCAGCGGCATTGGCAGTGTTAAGGTAATTCAAAGTGTCCATTTACTTCTTTGGAAAGCCAAACTGACTATCTATCAGGTATATCAGGGCAGGCATGCTACTGTAGCTATGGCTCCCTTTTGTGAAAAAGGTGACATCTAGTGGGAAATGTGCCTTTACATGGCAATTATCCAAGAAAATTGTATCCTCCTGAAGATCCAGAAAACCCCAACCCTGAAAAACCTTGAAGAAAAGATGATGGGGCTAGATTGTCAGTAGAGTTTGACACACAGCAGTGCTTTGATTTTTATGTTTTAAGGCCTCGGCTTTATACTGTAATGTTGTTTAATGATTTCCTGTTTTTATGTGTGCTACTATGAGCTTCCCAGAGTCACAAGGATTAAACTGGGCAGCTATCTATATTCGATAGATGGATGGATGGATGGATGGATGGATGGATGGATAGATGGATGGATGGACAGACAGATAGATGATAGATGGTGGATGGATGGATAGGAAGGAAGGAAGGACTTCGCCTAGAATGAGTGAATAGAGAAGGGACCTGAAGTTATTTTATTTATTTATTTATTTGATTATGTATTAGACAATAGGCAAAAGTATAAAAATGATTATTAATACATAAAATGGATATGAATAAAAGGGAACATTAGGACAGGGATGGTAGGCACGTTGGTGTTATCTTTAACACAATTTCATAAAGATATAACCAGAGTTTATTATAAGGTATAAACTCAGAAAAGGACAGGAGATAAATCAGGATTCCTGGGAAACTGATCATCTTCCTCTTCTACCACCACTATCAATAGAGGTGGGATTCTACCGGTTCGCACCGGTTCTATAGAACCGGTTGTTAACGTCACCGGTAGTTCTTAGAACCACTAAAACAGGGATGGGCAAACTTTTTGGCTCGGGGGCCTCATTAACTTTTAAAATTTGACAGACGGGCTGCCACCTGGTGTCAAAATGCCTGTCATTACAAGTCAAAATCAAATGAATACAATCATTCAATCATTCACATCAAACCTTAATTCTGTACCAATCTTCGGCGGGCCAGATTAAAAAGACCAACGGGCCGGATGTGGCCCCCGGGCTGTAGTTTGCCCACCCCTGCACTAAAACCAACCCCTGGCTGGCCCCGCCCCTCTCTGCCGCTGCTATGGGCCAAAACCCAGGGATCTTTTTTACTGCGCATGCGTGACATTTTTTGCACACATGTGGCAATCCTTGCCTCATTCTCCCTCGTCCGCCCTGCCCCGCCCCTACTTATAGCACATGTGTGCTACCTACAAAATTTTTACTGCCCAGCGCCATTGCTCACAACAGCAGCAGGAGCAGCAGCAGCCTGCCAGCCAGCCAGCTAGCCAGCCAGCCGTTGCTGCCTGCCTTCTGCTGCCCTGCTGGGGCAAGCCGCAAGCCCCAGTTGCCACCACTGCTAATCTCCCTCGCCCGGCCGGATTGCCTCCCAGGCCCTGCCCTGCCCAACCTGCCTCCCAGGCCCTGCCTCCCAGGCCCTACCTTCCCTGGCCTGCCTCCCAGGCCTGCCTGCCTGCCTGCCTTGCCTGCCTGCCTCCCATGGTGACTGCCATTAAAGAAGATGCAAGCCCCAGCTGCCACCACTGCTAGCCATCCTTGCCCATCTGGACTGCCTACCCCGGTCTCTGAAGACACGGATCAGTAAGTACGACCCGGTTGCCTACCTGCCACCACCAGTCCCGGTCAAGTGCTGACTCATGGGATGCCCACCGCCCTCACTGATGCTCCCTGCCTCTCCTGCTGCCATCTTCCCTCACCCGCGGCCCTCCATCATTGCTGCCTTCCCTTCCCACCATCGATTGGTGAGTGAGGAGGCAAAGCAGCAAGCCCCGCCAGTCCCCTACCACCTCCTGCCACCGCCACCAGCCCCGGTCGAGTGCCAACTCCTGGGCTGCCAGCCACTGCCTCGCCCACCCAGCGGCCACCATCTTGGCTAGGCCAGCACCACCTTCCCTCACCTTCTGTGGCCCAAGGGTTGCTGTCTTATCTTCCCACCACTGACGGGTGAGTGAGGAGGCAAAGCAGCAAGCCCCGCCATTCGCCTACCTTCTCCTGCCGCCGCCGCCACCTGCCCGATTGAGTGCCAACTCCCGGGCCAGCCATCCTTGCCGCAGCAAGCTTGAAGACTGAGGAGGACCCCATGTAGCTGGCTAGCCAAGTTGCCTGCCTCATTTTTGGTAAGTTGCTTTTTTTTATTTATGTATTTAGTTATTTTTAGTATCTATTTTTGTTTTTATTAATCATAAAAACAAAACAGATAGTAAAGAAATAAATAAATACATAAATAAAAATTATTTTACTATTCATTTTGATGTTTCTTTCTCCTTTGTTTTTTCCTATTGGGAAAAAGCAAATCAGAAACAAATATCTATATATAGCATCAATGTAACATAAATGGAAACAAAATGTTACATTGCTGTTATATATAGATACTTGTTTCTGATTTGCTTTTTCCCAATAGGAAAAAATATAGGAGAAAGAAACATCAAGATGAATAGTAAAATAATTTTTATTTATTTATATATATATTTATTTATTTAGTATCCATTTTGGTTTTTTGATTAATAAAAACAAAAACAGATACTAAAAAAATAAATACAAAAGCAACTTACCAAAAATGAGGAAGGCAACTTCTTGTTACATTGTTGTTATACATTATCTATTTCTGCTTAAATCAATATATAGCAACAATGTAACAAAAACCTGCATGCATTCATTAATGGATTTTTTTAAAATAAAAGTTTTTTATTTTTTTAAACAAACAAAATAAACATAAAACATAAACAATCTTCAATTACATACAGTGTCAGTTGGTACAAATCACTTGTGCACAATCTTGATCATCTCTTATACATTTATTGTCTCACAACTACAATCTATTTCACACTCCTGGCTATTTTCTATACCCACTATGCAATTGAATTCTGTCCGTTGGCGTTACTTGAAAGTTAGTCAATTTACAAGGGGTCTGTGTTTCTGTTGTCATGCTAAACACACCTGGCTTCATAATTGGTCTGATTATGATGCTGCTCAGCACATATTTAAAAAGCTAGGGAATTATAGTTATTGTTCTGACTACTATTGGTTGTCAGGTACCTTTAATTCTTCTTTGCATGGAATTAATATAGCTCCTGATATGTATTTTTAATGCCTCTGATCAATCTAATACAGGATTGATATGTGCTGGTTGGCAGCTTAAGGATCCTAATATGTGGTTCTTTTTTGATAAATATGCTACTAATATTCATCCTCAGAATTATCAATGTGCAACTATAGGTTATTTTACTCTACCTGTTCAAATAGGTACTCTCCCCTCAACTCGACAGCAGCATTCCTCTCTGGGGCCTACATGTAATGATTAAGTCATTATTGACACACAATTGTCTTCTGGTTCTATATTTGGCCGTGCATCGGCAGGGGCCATTACAGGAGTCCTTACTCTAGACTCTTATCCTGGCATAATTGCTCAAGAAAACAGATGATCTATTCTTGGTCTCACCTGCAGACTTGAAAAACCCATCAATGCTACCGCTGCTACTATTCGTGATTTGCAGCATGAAATAGAAGACTTAAATCAAGATGTCTTACAGCAGCATTTTGCCATAGACTATCTTTTAGCCT